AAAAGGAGACCGGTTTACCCTTCCACGTCGCTCGTCCTTTCTCTCTCGCCGCACGTAGAACAGCCTCCCTGGCTGTGAATCTCAGCAAACGTACCAGACTGTGCCGGTCTCTGCCTCCTCGTTGGCCGGTTCTGTGGGAGCGCTCGATTTCAAAATCCTGTGTCAGCTCGACATCCAGTGTTTCAGAGATGAGTTTCTGTACAAACCCCTGTATATCACGTCCTTCAGCGCCTTCCTCTATCCCCACAGTGCAAACATTATTATGCTGCCCGGCATCCTCCAGGTAGATAACCCGCTCCTGCAGCTGTGTGACGGTTCTCATCGCTGTGTTCACCGCTGTTTCTCTGACCCCATCTTTATCCTCCAGCGCCGAAATCCGTGTTTCCGCTTTAGTCACCTGGTGTCCAAGCGTCTCCTCTGTAGTTTGGACTGCATCCATGCCTGCTTTCAGCCCGCTCATGTCCGACATGATGGTTTGGAGCAAAGTTTTAATGCTAGCTAGCTCAGCTGCGGTGTCTATCTGCGGAGGCGCCATGTTGTCGTCTGCATCTTCTGCGGTCGGTCGACTAATTTGGCTTCTCAGACCATACTGTGTGATGGATTTTTGGACTCCCTGCATATTTCTTCCCTTCTTGTTCTAATATGTAGTTATTTTATCTATCTTAGATATCTCCAAAATCGTTATAGGAGGGTGAACTGGGTGAAGCCCCACGGAGTGTCGCGCTACGTGGCCATCTTGGGTGCTCGCCTCACCGGATGTCCATTTTTCTTTTCTTTTTTATAAAAATAGTCAGTAGCATCTATAACAAAAATATATGCTTATTTCAAGTAAACTATAATAAACCATTAAAATTGTTAGATGAAATGAATAATTTCTCATTTTCTTCTGCATTTCTTGTGATATACAGATATCCAGTGATGATTGCTGGGTAATATATATGTAAATGTTATCCAGTGTCAAGTCTCAGGTCGTGTAACAATATGATATCTGCACGATAGCATGCACTGGGGTCCGTCGTGGCTACATTACGCCACTGGTTCCTTCTTAAAGCTGGTATTTACTATGTGTGCTGTCTCAGACCATCTATTCTAGTAACAAATGCACCGTCTCATTCCAGGTCCTGTAATCAAGTAACTACTTGATTATTTCCAAAGACAGTAATCAAGTAGTTACTTGATTACAGGACCTGTACAACAAAGCATTACTAAGCAGATAATATGCCCAATGTCCCACCAAACCAATGAACCAACCACACGGAGCAAAAATTATAAATATCACTAGAATACATTTAGACCTAAGAAAACATGGTGTGTTAAACAATAAAACAAAATGTTATATACTTAGTGACTTCAATAGGCCCTTTTTTTTAAAGATATTTTTTGGGCATTTTTTGCCTTTAATGGACAGGACAGTTAAGTGTGAAAGGGGAAGAGAGAGAGAGAGGATGACATGCAGCAAAGGGCCACAGGCTGGACTCGAACCCGGGCCGCTGCGGCAACAGCCTTGTACATGGGGTGCCTGCTCTACCACTAAGCCACCGACGCCCCCAGTAGGTCCTTTGTTTGAGTAAAGATTACTGCTTGGTACTCACAACCAAAATACAAGCCATGGGGAGACTATTCTTTCACAAAGTCACCTAATTTTGTTTGCAACACATTAGATAGTACCACCAAGAAAAACCTGACAGTAATTCTTAGTTTTAAGAACTCACTCACACCCAGCCTCTTGTGTGAAAGTCCAGTGTTTAACCCCTTCATTCATCACATATGTGTGCACTATTGTTCTTTTACACTACATCACCTTACTAGCAGTGCATTTGTGATTTTTTTTCCGTACATCTGGTAAGGTGATTGGAGAAACTAACACAAAGTGAATAGTGTGTGTGTGTGTGTGTGTGTGTGTGTGTGGAGGTCAGGAGGTCATTTGACTACTGTAGGTTCACGCTTTGGGTTGTTCAGTGACAATTGCTTGTACTTTTCACAATAATGTTTAACCGTTCATCTTTTCAGTCGTTAGAACTCATCTTTTCACCCTCTGTAACTAATATAATTAACGTGCTGAAACTTTTTCATGTCAAAAAAAAAAAAGAGTTTAAATAAACTGAATATTTAATTGCTGTGTGTGTGTGTGCGTGCGTGTGTGTGAGACAAAGAGAAAGAGAAAAACAGGAGATGGTGAGGACGTGTACAGAGACTTTGATGATGATGTTTCCAATTTAACCTCCTTTCTACATCACCATATCGTGATATTATGAATCATGAATATCATGAACATACAAACATCATTATTGTGCCTTTTTTTAACCTCTCTTTTTCCCCCTCCCAACATCCTGAGTTCCAACATCTAAACAAACGGCGTTAACCCGGTGTTCACCCTGGAGGAAGGAGTGAAGTGAATACCTGAACATCAGAGTTATTGTGCCTTTTTAACCTCCCTGTTTACTTCATCAACATGCTTTCTGTAGGTCGACCGTGCTCCCAGATGGGTGAGACCTTGCGTTCAATTCTGAGGAATGCATGGTGTGAATGCCTGAACATCGGACATCATTATTGTGCCTTTTTTTAACCTCCCTGTTTAGTTCATCAACATGCTTTCTGTAGGTCGACGGTGGAAGGTCAAAGGTCACCATCCATCATTTTGACAGAAGCGGAATTATACTACTCTCTCCTGAAGCCAGGAGGAGATACCCCTGTGAGGGTAAACAGACGACCTCCTCAAAGACTTTTGACTGAACTGTAGCAAAGGCTATGAAAAGTGATGAGACATTGATAAATTCCCACTACAGCCCCTCATCACAGTTATGTTTTGTGTTGCTGACTAAACAACTTTAACCTGTGTTCAGAATTGTTCAGAAACATTATTTTTAGTTAGTCATATTTTAGTTATTGTTCAATGTCATATACCTGATTTTGAATTAATGGCACACTACTGAATCTAAGATACTCCCATTTTTGGAAAAAACAGTTATTTTGTTTAATCCAAGTCCCATCAGATTAAGTAATGCTAAAACCAAGGAAGGACATTTCATTTGAAAGAAAAGGAGGGATGTAGTGTTGTGAGAATTAGGCAGATTCCCTTTAAGACTGAGGAAGTCATGTTGTGTTTACTGTCGGCGTTAGTAGCTGCAGCAGGAGCTGAGAGACTGACAATGAAGCATGCTATCTGTGCTGATTTCATGTAAAAGAAAGTTCATTAAAGCTTCAAGTCCAAACATATGAAACGGTGAGGACATTGAGTTTCTACACGCACCACTACTGATCTTGGCCTTTTTAAATCTAAGCTGAAGACCTACCTTTTTAGAATTGCTTTTAATTCCGACTAGGGCTATCCTTTTTTTTTTTAATGTGTATTTATTCTGTTTTAATGTATTTTATCTATGTTGAAAGGCTTTTAATGCCCTGTAGCACTGTTTTTCTTTTCTGTATTGTCTTATTGTTCTTTTTTTTTTGTGTGTGTGTTTGGTACTTCATGTACTTTCATTGTTATTTGACACTGTTGTTAAGCACTTTGTGTACCTTTGGGTTTTGTAAAGGGCTATAGAAATAAATGTTGACTGACTAATTGATTGATTGAGGCGAAACAGGAGGGAGGAAGTTAAATTAACAAGACTAAGATTTGATCACACAGGACTTAATCAGACATTATTGATGATAGGGAAATCAGGTCAGGTGAATGTTTACAGTGTAAAAAGACAGGAATTACAGAACACATAATTATGGAATGCAATAAATACATCAAGGAGAGGGAACAGCTGCAAAGATGGATCAGGGAGGTAGGAAGGGAGTGGAGTCTAGAGGGGGATGTATGGAGATGGGGGTAAAAGGTGCCCAGAAAGTCTTGATTCATTTTCAGATATAGAAGAATATAGTAGGTAATCCTTTTTTTTTAAAAAAAAAAAAAAAAAAAAGAATTCATTTATTTTTGTTTGTTTGTTTGTTTGTTATATCTCGGTTAAACAAAAGCTGCATGAAATAATAGTAACTCATCTGCATACTCCGGTACAGGAGGTGGCGGTATGCACCTTCTAAAGCTAAGATTGCAATCCGCCATAAAATGAAAAGAAGAAGAAGAAGGAAAAAAAAAAAAATCTGAGGGGAAGAACGTCTGAAGGCCCTACTTTAAATTTAATTCAAGGGATTGTTTCAAACTCGACTCACATCACTTCTAATTTTTCACATCTCCTAGTTGGAAGCTATGACTTTGAGAGTATTAAAATTCCTAATGAAACAATTAGAAAGATATTTGATGACATCACACACCCTTTATTGTCTTGTCGAAACTCCATCAAACAAAGTTTCTCCAAAGATATTTTATATTCTTTGCGCTCTAAATACTTAAAATTTCCCATAAATCCAAAAGCAAAAGAAATCCAGTTTAAAATTTTAAATGGTGTGTATCCGTCTGGTGAACTATTACGACAGAGATTTGGTTTTGAAACAAATAAATGTGTGTTTGGTGATGATATTGAAACCTCTGATCATTTATTTTTTCAGTGTATGCTTTCTGAAACACTCTGGACTGATATACATGACTGGCTGCACTCAAAGATCCGACTCGAAGCCTTTTCTCAAAAGGACATTATTTATGGTGTTGTTATGGACAATAATGAATGGGACTTTCTGGTAAACAATATACTAATTTTTACATACACAAATGTAAATATATGAATGTGAAACCTAGATTTAATGTGTTTCATAACGAGTTTCTTTCCTTCACCAAAGCCCTTAACATAATGAAAGATAAAAATGCAATGAAACTTTTCAGTTTATTTGAAAAATATGATCTACGACAAAAGCCCTAGCTAACTTTTTATTTTATTTTATTTATTTCATGGATATTTCATTTTCTCATGTAGATTTTCTCTTTTGTATTCTTCCTATGCACCTGCTCATTTGAAACGTAAAAATGATGCTAGCCATGTTGTTTGTACATGATTTTGTTAAATAAAGAAAAAAAAAAAAAAAAAAAAAAAAAAAGAAGTGTGAAGGTCGCATGGTTATGGCGTCATGCTAGGCGCGACCAAAAAAAACTGTCTTCTCCACGCTGTTTATTAGGAGGGTAGCGTGTGTGTGTGTGCGCGCATTTTACTTTCTCTCTCTGTTTTTATTTTTAATCATGGAGAAAAGAGGCACAAGCTCCTTCGGGAAGAAATGTAAGCCCGTGAAGATGAAAGATGGCGCCGACCCTGTCAAAGATTTCGAGAAATGGAGGAAAAGATACAACAAGACCAAAGTACAAGTTAAGCGAGACAGAGCGAAGAGGGAGGTTCCTGAGTGGCAGGTCGAACGGGAGTACATCGACAGGCTAGTCAGCAGGTACGGCGACATTAACACCAAGGAGATTGTCAAGTTTTCCGACTTTCCCATTTCAAAGAAGACCCTGTTAGGTCTGCAGGAGGCTCAGTACAGACAGCCCACAGAGATCCAGAGACAGACCATCAGCTTCGCTCTGCTCGGTAAAGATGTCCTCGGCGCAGCTAAGACTGGCTCTGGGAAGACTTTGGCCTTTCTCATACCGGTGCTGGAGTGTCTGTACCGCCAGCAGTGGAGCTCCATGGACGGCCTCGGTGCTCTCATCATATCCCCCACGAGAGAACTCGCCTACCAGACCTTTGAAGTCCTCCGCAAGGTGGGCAGGAACCACGAGTTCTCCGCGGGGCTCATCATCGGCGGGAAGGACCTCAAGAGCGAGTCGGAGAGGATTCACCGCACCAACATTGTCATCTGCACCCCGGGACGACTGCTCCAGCACATGGACGAAACGGCCACCTTCCACGCCTCTAATCTCCACATGCTAGTTCTGGATGAGGCGGACCGCATCCTGGACATGGGATTTGCCGATACAATCAACGCCATTGTGGAGAACCTTCCGAAGTCCCGACAGACGTTGCTGTTCTCTGCTACACAGACCAAGTCGGTCAAAGACCTGGCCCGGCTCAGCCTTAAAGACCCAGAGTATGTGTGGGTTCACGAAAAGGCAAGGTTCAGTACGCCGGCCACCCTGGAGCAGAGCTATGTAGTGTGTGAACTCTATCAGAAGGTCAACATGCTCTACTCTTTCATCAGGAGTCACCTGAAGAAGAAGATAATTGTCTTCTTTGCCTGCTGCAAGGAGGTGCAGTACCTGTTCCGGGTCTTTTGTCGCCTCAGACCTGGCATGCCTGTCCTGGCTTTGCATGGTAAACAGCAGCAGATGAAGAGAGTGGAGGTCTATAGGGACTTCCTCAAGAAACAGAACGCCGTGCTCTTTGCCACCGACATAGCCGCCAGAGGCCTTGACTTCCCTGCAGTCAACTGGGTGCTGCAGTTCGACTGCCCGGAGGATGCAGACACCTACATCCACAGGGTGGGTCGGACTGCCAGGTACAAGGAGGGGGGAGAGGCCCTACTGCTGCTGCTTCCCTCAGAAGAGAAGGGCATGGTCAGCCAGCTGCAAGAGAACAAGGTTCCCATCAACAAGATCCAGGTGAGACATCATGCATCCACAGCATCACAAGTCACACCCATTGCGCCGAAAAATAGAAACCAGTCTACAGTGTAGCAATCCAGTACAGTACAGTTCATACCTATGGTCATTTTTTGGTCATAGTTTGTGTTGATGTTATATTGGATTGGAGTTTAATGCCAAAGACACAGGACAATAAAACACACAATACCATCACAACACCCAGACAGCCAGGAGCCTGTCCTGTAATAAAGCACATATAGGGATAAGTTAGATCACACATCATATATAAGAAATAGAAAAAAGAGATGTTGCTGTAGGATCTTTTTAAATGTGAATTTTCAGTACTGTAAGCAATGCAAATGAAAAATGCTGAGAAATCAGTGAGAAAACTTTTTTTTTTTTAAGGAATGTCTGATAAATTGGCAGTGGAATAATTTTGGCTGATTAGACAGAGAACGTAGTTATTGCTGTTGTTCCAATTCTGAAATTTCCACTGATACCTATGTCTGGTAATGCAGACCCCCCCCCCCCCTTTGCAAATTTGCTCTCAGTAACATATTGTACATATGCTATAATAAACATATAAATCAATAATCAATAAAAAGAAAAGGAATTACAAATTGACTTGTTCAGAAGAATAAAATGAATAAAACAAGGGATGCACTGATTTTGAAATCCTGGGCCGATACTGATACCAATGTTTAAAATAACAATTTCTCTAATAGCTGATACCAATGTTTTTATTTTTGTATTTCTTTTGTTTTTTGTTATTTATTATTCTTTTATGCCAGGGAAACAGAAATCTATACTATAAAAAAGAAATTAACAGTTTTAAAGTAATTCAGTCCTTCATTACACTTCACACCTTTGAATGAGCACAAATTCAGTAATACACATTTATGAAACAACCTTTAACATAACCTTCTTACACATGAAAAAACATGTTTAGAAAATAAGCCAAAAGCTTTTTTACTATATATGATTCATCATATTCCCTCTCTACCATCTATTTTATAGTGCTGTGAAAACATCAACAAATTTCTCCATTTATACAGCTGGATTTAGTCATTTCTCACCAAAAGCTACATTTTGCAAGATTCCATTGAACACATCATGAGAATGTTATAATACCTTTGCCCAATACTAATTTTTACTGAACAGAGCTTCAACGCTTCACAGTGTAAATCAATACAATCTCTGTGAGTTGTTCGTTGCGGCCACCAGCACCTTATAGGTAACGAGAACTAGCTCTCCTCTCATCCACTCCTCTCAGTAGTGTAGTGGTAGTTGTGTGGGCACCAGAGAGCTTTTGTCGTTTTATTTATTATGTATTTATTTATTTTATTAATCACTTTTAGAAATACAGTAGTGGATACAGAAAAGTGAGATTACACATATTATACATTTTCCTATTTTTTTCCCAACTCCCAAAACAAAACCAGGCCCTCACAAGGGGGGCTGACAGTAGGAGCAGTGGAACAGAGTCCAGGGTTTCCTCTACATGTCGTGGCGCACTGCCACGGCAAAAAAAAAAGCCGCAACGCCTTCAGAATGATGATGGTTTTTTTTTTTTTTTTTTTTTTTCCCCAGATGTTAAAACAATGTAAAGTATACTGTATGAACTGATATATATATGTATAGCCTATATTTGCGCACATATATTTACCATAATCAGAGTTTGAAATGATAATTTAAATATCATATTTTGAAAAATCATCGGAGTCATCACCTGTCTGTCTGGCTGTACTGCGGCGCGCTCAAGAGTGGGGGGGCGGCAAAGAGATGACAGTCCAAAGTAGAGGGAGAGAAAAGGGTGAGAGAAAGGTACCTAAGCAAGGTTAAGTTTGATGCAATTTTTGTTTAAGCCTGTGAAAACGACCCTAATGTGATGCATCTGAGCAAACGGCATTGAACTTTTTTGTGCTCTCATAGCTCCTTGGCTTTATTTTAAACAATCAGTTCTGCATACACCTCTTAATTTTTCTCAGCATCACCTGCTGCACCGGCACCATCATCATCGGTGCCGTCCTCACCGGGCGGCTCATTGAGTATGGTGTAGTGCTGCACGATTTGATAAAAATGTGCGATTGCGATTTGAGTGGGCAATATCGCGATTTGTGATTGCGATTACAATATAATACATAAATGGTATCATTAGTCTTCTTGCTTGATTCAGTGTTTCCCCTACATTAGGGGGGCACTGACCTGACCTGACATAGTTATTAGGGCTGTAGACAACCAAAGAAAATCTTGGTCGATTAAAGTCGCACATAATCTTCAACTAATCAATTAGTCGTGGGGGGAAAAAAAATCTGCACGTTATTTTTACTTCTGCAGTGGTATGTCTGTCTCACTCTGCAGTCCGGTGGAAACGGGCCTTTTAAGAAAGAAAAAAAAAAAAGAATGCATCCAAGTTGTCCCATAAGGTTTTTATTTAAATAGTATCCAAAAAGTTTATTGTGGTTCAGCAGCACAAAATGTAAACAAATTCAATATCTTCTTCTTGTCTTCAACAAACAAAATAGGCCTATTGTATTTTCTGGACTATAAGTCGCTCTGGAGTATAAGTCGCATCAGTCAAAAAATGCGTCATGAAGAGGAAAAAACATATATATGTCGCACTGGACTATAAGTCGCATTTATTTAGAAATTTATTTCACAAAATCCAAGTCCAAGAACAGACATTTAATCTGGAAAGGCAAGTTATTCAGCTATACAATGGCACACAGAACAACAGGCTGAATAGGTCTCCGGTATGTTAATGTAACACATTAACAGTTATTCCCTATACAGTAGCATAAAAAACATACCTGGGAGGCTGAATAGGCTAAATTAACATAACAAGCCAGCGACTCCAAGCAAGTTACCGGTAAGCAAGTTCACCAAGCTCCCGATCTCATTCCACATCACTGAATCCATTGAATTCTTCATCCTCGGTGTTGCTACTGAACAACTCCGCCAACTCAGGAGGAAGATGAAGCGCCGTCTCCTCTTCTGCGGGGCTGTCGTCAGACTCAGCATCAGTTCCAGTTATTCCGGCAGGATGGTTTCGGTTGTCCAGGGCTCGACAGTGCGAGCATTTCACTCGCATTTGCGACTAAAAATAGCTGTGTGCGAACTGTAAAAAATATTTAGGGGCACATGTGCGCATAAAAAAACAGCCGAAGCAGCCTGTATTTTTGTCAGTAAAAAAATATGATAATCTAACAGCAAATGTTGGAGGAACTCCAGCTGCCTTCCCTCTTCCCCGTGTGACACGGTTATGGGTGGTTTTCCAAGCCACTGTCGGCACAATGAATATAAGTCCCACTGTCGGCACAATGAATATAGTCCCACTGTCGGCAGCATGGAAATAAGTCAAAGTGTGGAGGAAGCTGCGGACCTACGGGAAAGCCTGCTCCGTTCTCCCTGCAGTTAGGGGCCGTTCTCCACGGCCAGGCTGTCGGCTGGGTGGAAATAAGTCAAAGTGTAGCGGAGACGAGGGACCGGGTAAAGCTGAGGACCTCCGGTGAAGCCTGCTCCATTCTCCCCGCAGTTAGGGACCGTTCGCCACGATACCGCTGCTGGACAGGATCGAAATAAAGCCCTTTTCACACAGAGCGCAGACCTCCGCTAACGAACCCATTCATTGTGTATGTGCTACGGCATCTGCGCGCCGCCAGCCTGCACTGGAATTGAAATTTTTTAATTTCACCGCAACATGCTGTGACGACACCTCGGCGTGTCCAATAGCAGAGAAGAGCCTGAAGTAGACCCGGAAGCGGTCACCATGGAGCTGTAGCTCCTGAACGAGCCTGTACCCCAAATCCTGTCTTGCACGCCTTGCTCTCTGCTTGCTCTGCGCCCTACCCTGTGGTGGGTGCCGCGAAAATCGCGCTCTGTGTGAAAGAGGCTTAAGTCCTGCAGAGTTTCAGAGGACCTGGAGAATGTTTTCGGATAGTAATAACATTATATAAGATAATCATATTGCAAAGATAATATATATAAGATAATAACATTAAAGACAAAATTAAATTGCAACACTTTTTCAAAACTTGATGATTTTACCTTTCTGTACATTTTGTGTACAAATTCATCAAATAATTTTGCTTGTAAATGTCTATTTGCATCACGTTTATTACGGAAAACACATTATTTGATCAATTTACATTGTGCCCCCAAAGTTCTTTGTGCGCTCCTTACTTTTTCAACTTAGGAGCACATGTGCTCCTTGGGAAAAAAGTTAGCGTCAAGCCCTGTTGTCACTGAAGCCCATGCTTTGTCGATCCATCCAAGGACTTGCTGGAATAGTTGCATGGCGCATCCTCCCGGTTGCCGTGAAGCTGTGCTCTCCATCCACCATCCACTCCTCCCACAGGCGCCGCAAGACTGCCTTAAAGCTCCGGTTCACTGAGATGTCGAGTGGCTGGAGTACTTTGGTTAAGCCTCCAGGGATGATGGCAGGTATGGAGTTGCAAGCTTTTATTTTATCTTTGAACTGTGGCGTTATGTGCTCTCACATACTGTCCATCACAAGCAGGGCTTTGTGTGTTTTAAAGAAGCCATCAGGACACTTAGTGTAGCACTTTGTAAGCCAAAAGTTAATCGTTTCTTGATCCATCCACCCTTTTTCATTCACGGCCACGACAACTGTGGGGGGGAATTTGTCTTTTGGCATGGTTTTCCGTTTGAAAATGACCATCGGTGGCAATTTCGATCCATCTTCACAACATGCCAGCACCACTGTGAAGTGTGATTTCTCATGACCAGTTGCCACTTTCTTTGTTTTCTTCATTGCAGTAACAGTAACCTCTGCCTTTCGCCAGTCCCTCACAAGTTTCTCACTCACTCCAAACTTTCTTTCACGCTCGATTACTGTTTTCGGTTGCATATTTTACTACCTGCAGATTGTAGTCTGCAGAATAGGATTTTCTTTTTGGGGGCATTTTGTTTGTGTTCAGTCTTTCTCAGTTGTCTTTAAATTAATGTTTCATTTAATTTTTTCAGTGGTCCGGGAGCAGCATATAGTTGTCACAAGC